GCAGCTTCATCTTTATCACCGTATCATTCAGGTCAGGTTACATGGACCGTTGCATGTTTAACATTAGCATGGACCGTCCGTTTTAGCATGGACCGTTGCATGGACGTGTTTCCCCATTGGTTTAACATTAGACTGGACCTTTGCCTGGACTAGACTGGACCTTTCCCTGGACTTTTGACTTCCCCTTGCTTTAACATTAGACTGGACCTTTGCCTGGACCTTTTGCCTGGACCTGACTGGACTAGACTGGACCTTTTACTGAGCCCAAAATACAACTACTTTCATCATTCATCACTGAAAATATAGCTGACTGTACTTTTACCAATGTCATCTTTTTTGAAAACCTCGTCTTGTCTTTCACTTAATTCTGTTCATCGTTCCGACATTTATAATTTTTAGTGTATAGTGTGATTATTAGTATGGGGAAAAAAGAAAAACGGGGTAGGTGGGGGTAGGGATGGGTAGTGTTATAGTTTGGTTATAACATTGATGGAGCTGGAGGGGTTGGAGATAATGTGCTGATGGATTTATGGGCTTTATCGAGTGCTAGTTGTATGAACCGGAGTGGTGTTGGGGATGGTTTGGGGGAGGGGGGAGGGGTTGGTTGTGGGAGGATACTTAGGGGTTGGTGTTTTTACTTTTATGTGTATGTGCTTATGTCTACATACATTGTGTATATATTATGTTTTATTTTGTCATAACATCGCTGTGTTATTTGTTTCATAAAATTGGGTTGCGTATTTTGATTTATTGTATATTATTAATATTTCCCTATTTACTGTGTAAGATAAACATATATTGATTATTAGTTCAGTATTCGCTTATCCAGTTATTCCTACCTAACTAATAGGTCCATATAGCACTGTCGGCTTCCCTCCTTTACCTGCGCTAACCTTGTAGGGTTTTACGCCGAATGAGCGAAAGGACCTATTTGTCAATCAGTGTGGTAGGTATCAATAATATACCATTTGACTGGGTAAGTGGTATATATACCTTGAACAATAATGTATCCAGTAATATTGTGATGAATGTACATATCGTAATCCTACCTTCGCTGATTTAGCATATTGTTAAGGTTAGATACGTTGATCTCTTGGCGTTAATCATTTGTGTTATGTCTCCGTAATTTGAACGCTTAGAAGATAGATAGTTTTAGAGGTACAATTAAAACGTACCGGTGATTATACCTCCCTCACCGCTAGGTGTCGCTAAAATAGCAAGAGGTATAAATAAGCAGAATCCAGCATCAATCGGCCTATTTCTGTTATGATCTCGGCGTGTAGACAGCAGTGTTAATCGTAAGGGATATATGTGAGACCGGCTTTGTATTGGAAAGATAGGAGTGACTGAATAAGTCTTGCCTTGATCCAGACACTGCCTGGAAGATATATTTAATAAACGATTGAGTGCTGTAGCGAGATACTGTTAGACAGAAGGTGTCACGGGCATAGGCTATGCAGTGCTAGGGCTAGTCGTGACTAGGTATAGTCGTTAGTGTAGTGTTTTATTATTGTTACATAATTACATCAAGCCCCTGTGCATATTGATCTGTGACGTAATATCACTTATATGTATTGAGCATGCGCACTAGTGAATAAACGATATGTGAAGCGGCCATTACTAAGTTGTTAGTTGTGTTCAATACGAACGGTTGAATCCGAGGACAATCCTACAGTTAGGGGTAGTTGTGACTAGGGGTAGTTGTGGTCATTAGAGAGTGCCGTAGTTGTATACTAGTATGTATAAGGCTGTCATGCTCGGCGCGACTAGGTCGTATAGCTAGGTAGCTGACTATTGGGCAACTATAGTGACTAGGGTTTGCCGCGACTAGGTAGTCGAGTTGTGTACTGCCTAGATTGTACGGTAGTGTGTGTAGTGTGTTATATTAATACAGAGCAGATAGCTTTGGTAATAGTTCTATAGTCGTGCAGTAATTATTCTGTTCATATCATGTATTAAGCATTAGATAATAGGTATGCTGGTTACAAGGTAGTAACACATATTTGTATATATTTGCAACTGTAGTATAGTTATAATTAAGCCTACAGCACAGGGATCCTTGGAAGTGACTAGGGTACGGACCCCGGAACGTTACAATATGTTGTCAGATGATAAACTGGCACAGACCTACAAGATAGCTAACCTTGCTATATATGGTATCATTAATTTGATATATGTGCTCCTCAGGAGCAGATAATTAAGTGGACTATTTATTATGGACTTTAATTATGATTTAATCATGATCACTCAAGTGGAATGACCTTTGATACTTGTCTATTCATTTCTAGTCAAATATTATTCTAGTCAAAGGGAGATAACCCTAGAATGTAAAGTTTATTTCAATATAGTTTTGCTGTATATCTGAAATTCCACAGTATTAATAAAGTTACGTTGGCATGTATATAGGTTGCACACTCTTGATGTTTGGCTTGGCGGATGGCTGACAGGCTAATTCCAAAGGTTAAGATTTCTTTATCATGTATCAGCTCATATATGGGAAGTACACCTACACTGTGGTACCACAGGGTAGGTAGGCAATGGTAGACCATCTCATGTAAACCGGAATGGTCAGTTCTTTACTGTATACCAGTTTGAGCTATTTTGTCCCCAGAATAAACCGGGGACAGGTGTTTTAAATATGGTTAATAATACCATTTATAATATATGGGCTCATGTATTGTAGAAATCACACCTAGTTTACTCTATTGATGGGTTTACATAGAGAAACCGAGACTGGCAGTGTTACCACAGGGTCACTAACATGCCAGGTTAAATTTAGGCGGTTAGTTTTAGTCTGTCAGTCACCGAAAAAATGGGGGGGGGGGTCCTTTATATAATCTGTGAATTTGTAGTATTTCGTGAATCGTAACTGCGGCCAGAAATTCTCCAAGTCTACAGTGTAATTTGCTGTTTGTGTTATTTTGTTATGAATCTTTAACTAATTGTACCTCTAAAACTATCTATCTTCTAAGCGTGTGAATTAAGGAGACATAACACCAATAATTAACGCCAACAGATCAACGTATCTAACCTGAATAATATGCTAAACCAGCGAAGGTAGGATTACGATATGTACATTCATCACAATCATTCTGACTGCCTACGCCGACAGAGACGTAACGATATTGATACCTACGGCCTATGACTCATATACACTTTACTAGAGCTTGTGTTTGGAATTTTATATATAAATGATTAGCACTTATGCTTTCAAAGAATATTAATTAAGAATTTGAAACAAAAAGAGAGAAACTAAACGATAAAATCAAGCTCAGCCAGTAATCATGTTACGCTTGTTTAGACCTATTGGAGCCGTCAGTAAACTTCTGCACTGGACACACACCTCATATCAATTTCAGAAAGGTATGTAGTGTATGTTATGTACTATCAATTATTTTACAGAAATATTAATCGTTTCTGTACAAAAATTAAGCAATTCAAATGCAAAAAATGACTTACAGTAAGCTTCATTTTCCTAGTCTTTTTACGTGAGGTCTCATCAGAGTATATGTTCAGCTTTGCTACAGCTTTGTGAACTTTGAAAAAAACGATGTTACATATACAGTATACAGGAAGACATTCAGTTGTTTGTTTATGATTTTTATTGACTTTTCCCGGATATCTTTTGTAAATCATACTTCATAAAACTATTTAATAGTGTTACTCAACGTAGACTGAAAAACATGCACATATTTCTTGTTGGGTAATGTCGTTGACCATGTAGACTTGTTTGTGGTATCGTACCATCTTTACAGGATATATGTATGTAGTGTATTTTTTAGTCCTTGATTAGACTCTCGTAAAGCATCGTTAGCGAGTACGTAAATTCTAGGGTAACGGAATATGTATGTCTTCAGGATGGGAATATTCTGCTATGCTAAGCCAGGTCACAAACATGTACCATTCATTCGAATACAAGCGTTAAATAGTCTAAAAATACATTCAAAGGACAATATTGTGAATAGTGAGGTAACTGCACGCGTTAATAACGCACGAAGCATGACACTGATACACATTATGTTACAGACGCCATTGATTCAACCAGGTAGGTTTATCAAGTTTTAAGTTTTATTTTTACACTCACGCCACACGTATACGTGCGTAATAAGAGGTCACATATTACATAGTATACATTGATGGACAAAGTACACACATTATATGACACATGATACAATTTATACAATAACAACCCATTTCACTAATTCTTTTAGCTAACTTAGTTTAGATATTAAGTAGCTTCATTACTCTTTGTATACATTTACTTACTTTTGTTAAGAGTACCGTGTTACAAATTGAGAACATTCCTTTCATTTTGATGTAAGTTGGGTTGACATAATAATAATTTGGTATATAAAGTTGGCTAAGAGCTACAACAGATACATTAGTACATTGGTATAAGTAGTGGTATTCGTCCCCAACACAGTTATTACATAGGGGACATAACCTTTATGTAGTTTATGTTCGTTGACAATACATTTATATATACATGGTTTTCATTTGTAGATCAATTGAAGACCTGCAAGGAGTTACTTTTAAAATCAAGATGGCGATTTCAAACTTTTCCTCCAGCGGTGAGTAATCTTAAAAGTTATTTTTGACGAAAAAAACGCGAATGTATACCACGTCAAGACGTTTGCTTTTTGCATGTGTAAACATTCGAATATCGTACCTGAAACTGTTTACCCTGCAAAAACAGGAAGTATTTCGGGCTTCCTCTATAACTTCGAAAATAGAACAACGTTTTCTAAGTGCAAACATCTGGGAGTGGAATACCTAACAAGTGAAACTTGTTGATAATGTTGGTTACGATGAAAGGTAACATATTTATATAAGTGTATTAACACTTGTTTCTGTCTCCAATTAATTTATGTTCAATCATGTGTGTATTATGTATTACATATGTTATGTAAATAAAACAAAGTTTAAACTAACAAGTGACACTCTAGTCGTTAACATCAGTCATGCATGAAAGTATACGGGTACCACAGAGCTCATCATGTCTTTCAAACGCACTCGTTAATTACAACAGTGACTGATAAAAATTAAAAGCATTTTTTCCCTTTTACTGCGTGATGACTGAAAAAGCATGTAAACGTTAACTTACATCGTAACAAATTGAATACCTTATCTAACCTGGGTCTTTTCTTACAAACTTCAGCAAACTACATGCCTTATTTAACGGTATCTTAAAAGTCGTATCAAACAGTTATTTAATTAGATAGAATATTTTGAGTTCATATTACAGTACAATGCTTTCAATTAATGAATGAGTATTAAAGTATCAATGGCATTCTAGGAGTTGGATTTCCCGATGAAGTAGGGTTAAGTAGATAGATAAATTTCTTTATTTTCTCTATGGGATAAGGTTACAAACATTGCATTAATGTCATGTTATGTTAATGTAGGTTAATGAACAATTTTTTGAATACACAGTGCTATTGCGTTACGTGACGACTTTTTTTCTCAAGTTTACAATAAAGAAGCTGTACACATAGATTCCGATATATAACAGTTGAAACACGTAAAAAGATATTTGTATTCTTGGGTAACAAATGCTCTATGAAGGAATTAGCAATATCAAGTTGCACTACTATACGAATGACTTGCAATATGAAGACAATTAACATCCTAGCAGCTTCCAAAGTAACATTCTCTAGTTTAGTCATACAATCTTTGGGAATGCTATCCTAGACAATATCAGGAGTGTTTATAACTGACATTATTGAATAACGAATAACTGTCTAACTTTACTTTCCGGGGGTTGGGGGTCAGAAGTCAAGTTGGACAGTTATTCGTTATGCGTTATCCGTTTACTTTACAGTTATCCGTTATTCGTTCACTTTACAGTTATTCGTTATCAGGTATTCGTTAACTTTACGTAGAAACCGTATACAGGTGGTTGCACAGCAATAATTTACACTGTGTTAAATTACCAACAACAGATGTCCATTTTGAATGTTGATAGATTGTTAACGCCATTTTTCAGAAAGAACTGGAGTGATTTTTCTGAAGTTTAACACGAATGTTCTTATGGTCTGTAGTTACGCATATCGAATTTGGGATCTGACATGAAAACAAATATGGCCGACAGGCGGACACATGCTTTTTGAATTTTGAGATTAAGATAGATAGTGTTAGTGCTATTTCTCAGAAACTATTCGAAGGATCTTTCTCAATGTCCACATGAAGGTTTCAATTGGTCTTTGTTATGAATATCAAATTTTGTGTATGATCAGAAAACCAAGTTGACTGACGAGCGGCATTTGGAATGGTGAGAGTTAAAGTACATTATATGTTAACATTGTTCACAGAAAGTAATGGGAGGATCTTTATCAAATTTGACATGAAGGTTTCCCGTGGTCTTCTGTTATGCATTAAAGGGTCTGATCAGGATATCACAGGCTGCCATTTTGAATTAAGAGATTGAAAGGTTGTTAGCGCTATTTCTCAATAAGTACATGTAATCGATAGATCTGTTTCCGATGTCGTATGGTTACTTTCATATGGCCTTAGTTGTGCATGTTTCATATTAATGCTGTTTAGAAAAAAACAAAATGGTCGCAAAGGCATCCGTACTTGATTTTGACAGTTACAGTTTGTTATCCATATTTAGTGACAAATACTAGACAGATCCTTTAAAAATTCACATTTAGGTTCTCCTTCTTACAGAGTAGGCACCATGCTAGTAAATATGTAGCACAACAACCTGACTTTCAAAGCTCAATGTCATACAAATCAGTTTAAAATTTTAATGAAAATGTACTTTAAGTTAACAAATTGTGTACGTGACTTATTCCAACAGAAAAGAGATAAGCAGAGTAAAGGTCAATAACACATGAAAACTATGAAGATGGTACGATGGTAGGTGCCCGGATCTATCAGTGTAGATAGAAACGTAGTAAAAGAGATGTTTGGAATTAGAAAGAAAAACTTAGTAAATTCATATTGCATGATCAGCAATCAGATGTTGTTAGATTTTGACCCACTTAAGTATGGTTTTGTTTAAATTTTGTAAAAAGGAGTATAAAATCGCTACAACATTTATAAAGGGATTATTTTAAGAGTCTAGTGTCCAAATAGGTCTAGAACCCGTGCCGATGAGTTTGACCAGAAAATGATTTGAAATTCATAAATGAATAGATTGCACACAGGGTTTGGAAATATCTAGAACGGATGTAAATGTCCATCTTTTGAAAGGTTCCACATGTGATGGATGGAACAAAAATCATTTACACGTTGTTATCGATTTCAATCAAAAAGTGGAGTTACAAATATGAATTTGCATGACATTTTTGTTGATTTATATTGATCCCGGTGCTCTTGTGTTTGAAACAAAGTATTTGGAGAATATCATAATACATGCTTACTTGATTCCACTCGGTTTTAACGATCCACGCCGATGTCACCTTCAGAGACATTAACCTTAATGAAAAAATAACATTAAGACTCTTGAAACATTTGTATTTATTTCATCCATGTACATTCAGTCATGCGGTCATTATCCTTGCATGGGCATATGGACATGATTATACACAATACATAAACCTAATTAAGGAGTTATTTTAATAAATGGTGAACAAAAATATTGTTTAAGAATATATATCAGTTACCGAAGCTATTTTCCTATGCATTGCCTTTACAATTACAATCGTGTTAAGCTCTTCCCATCGAACTTAAGCCACGCCCCGTTTCTAACCAAAACAATAAGGCGTCAAACTCGCCTCTTAGCGAAATCCCGCTGATAAGGCTAGCAGGCAACAGAACAGAAACGACTGATAAAATGTATTTGTTGAATGAAATAAAAGATAAAAAGTACACATTCCTTGTTCTTACCTCCATTTATTATTGAAACATATTCAGATCCGAAATCAAATGAAACATTTCACTTGTGCCGTATGCATTTACACAAAACTCTACAAATATTCACCGTTTTTGTCGATAAGCACCGATTGGTATGCATACTGACATGGAAATTTAAGAACTTGGTCAATATTAATCCAAATGTGTCGTAAAAACTTTGGTAACAGGACGTTCACGATCAATCCAAATATTCCGCCTCGTCAACATACAGATCGTGCGCTCGCAGTTATGGGCGGGGCCAAATTACCGACTTTTGAAGGATTCTTTCCGATTTGTCAGTCCGCTGCAGAATGACACGTCGACAGTTCAGGTCACAAAGTATTTTACTAGGTACTTTTGTACAAGGAAATACAATGTTTCTAAACCTATTAGCGTAGTATATTTATTAAGATGTGTTAGAATGGGGATAATACATTGTTTTTCTTGTCTATACTGGCGATTAGAACATGAAATTTGGTTTAAACTCTCGACCTATCGGTTTCGAGTTCAAACCCACATTTCATGTTCTAGTCGCCAGTATAGCCACTCAAAACAACTTACTATCCCCTAAATAATGGCCGTCTTTGATGTACATATATGTAGATCATCGTTCAATGACAGGCACTACCAAGAGCAGCTAACCAATTTCGGCTTCAAGTGTTTCCATAAATAAATACACACGTTGGAGGGAGACTCTGCTTTCGCGTATATATGTATCACTACATCATTTGACTTAATTACTGTTCCAATACGAAGTTCACAAACCAGCCAATGAAAATTTAGTTGACAGCGATCATAGTAGGGAGATTGATGGGGGAGGGGGTTCGAGTGTTTGATGCTTGTGTCGCTGGGCTGGCAGGCTGGTACTTAAAAGAAAAAAATATACACAGGTAAACTGGTCACAAAAATTCAGAATATAAAAATGGTTGTTAGAAATGATTTTAGAGAGATAAAAACAATAACATGAAATGCATTAAATTATGAATTTGGTGATGTATTTGTTTATGAAATATATTAGTTATAAAAAAAATCATAAATCCTTAATCTCTAGTATTGATATGGGTCCGCAAATATGTATAGAAATGCTATGAATATACCTCATACACTTTTGTAACTGACGTATGAGTAATTGTCTATCAATTTAAATTAAAGATATATTTATCAGTGTATCAATTACATTGAAAGACGATTAAAGATACTTAGTTACCAAATCAGGTGGGATATCTCTAATATAATTTATCCGTATTCCAGTAAGCATATGACGCATGCATTTTACGTCATATGTCTTTGAGTGCCGCCAAGGCCGATCATATTTGAACCTCATTGCTGACGTCATTATGGGATAAAAGTATGACGTCATAACCTTTATTTCAACCTCATGAAATCCCTTTACTACGAAACTATCTCCCCTACCGTATTTTTTCTTTTTAATTTCTTTCTTTGGGTTTGTTATTTTAAATCTATTTTAAAATTGAAAATTTGCTCCCACCGACAATATTTTCATATTTCATTTCATTCACAATGACGTAAGGTTAGAGATTGACGCACAGTCGAAAAATCGGCAAGGTAAAGTTGGATAGTTATTCGTTATTCGTTATTCGGAATAACGAATAACTTTCTAACTTTACTTTCCGTCGGGCGAAAGTAAAGTTAGAAAGTTATTCGTTAATCAAAATTTTACAAAAAATTGCTTAATATGGATGCCGGTGCACAACTTGCAAGTACAGGGGGT